TTTAATAGACTCGCGCTTTATTGCCCGCTTTATTGGCCGCTTATAAAATCGATGCAATTAAACGTGATTACACGGAATTCCAGAGCGTTGAACGATCCCTGGTCGCTCGCTTATCGATGCTTTTTGAACGGCTCACCAGTCGATCCTAATTAACGAAACGTGGTTAGCGCGGGAAAGTTGTAAAATCATTCGTGTTCTTATTCTTGAAATTTTTATACATCCTGTGCAAAAATATTTTACGTGAAAAAAATTCACCAACGATTGAATGGAATTCATCAATAGAATAGAAATTAATTTTTATATTTTGCTAGAAAAATTTGGATCGAGAACGATTTAAAGCGTTATCCAATATTGAATCATAATCTATAGATTAGGAAACTTTAATCCGTAAAACGTAACAAAGTTTTATCAGATTATTATCTGATTAATTCTCGTCGACGAAGCTTCCAACGATTTCCTAAGTCCTGTCCATATGCTCACTCACCTGGCTACCTTCCCCATGCTACCTTCGCTAATCGTTCAATCGTTATCTCTCATTCAAGGACACCTCGATTACCCTACGATCCATTTTTAAATACGCTGGATGGGCGTGTTTCCATTTCACCACTTACATCGATCAAACTTTAAAAATTAACTTTTCATCCTCTCGTCTCGTATCTCTCCTAAAGCACTGTTACTTTATGAAAGAAAAAAAAAAAAAAAAAAAAAAAAAAAAAAAGAAAGAGAAAAAGATAGAAAAAAAGAAACATTGTAGAATTTCTTTTCTCGCAAAACAAGCTGCGTGTGCAGCTGCGTTTTCATCTTCGAAACCTGGCAATTAACCAACTTATCCATAAAAAAAAAAAGAAGAAGAAGAAAAAAAAAAAGAAACTTTTACAATCTCCTCCATCGTCCCTCCGGTAAGATTAACTTCAACTTCTTGCTCGATTCTTTCGACGACTTTGTCCAAATTTCTTTACAACCTCCAGGTCAATCTGGTTACCTCGAGTAGTCAAGGTCCTCCGGAGAAAGTCAACGAGCGACGAACTTTACGCTCGTGTCATTCGGAAAGATGCCGCCATTATATCCTCCCGTTCGAAAGTGGTCACTGGAGGAGACCACTGCACGTTTTCGTGTCGTAAAGTTTGCGCAGGGTGCAATTCGTTTTATTGCGTGAAGACAATCACGGTTTGGGACCTCTAACTCTCGTCTAACTCTCTTGGAGGAAGGGAGGAAGGGCCCTTTTTATTTTGATCTCTCGTCGATCCGAGTGAGGCCGAGTGAGTGCGTGTACAAATGGGCCGACAAATCGTTACATAATTCCCCGTAGTTGGCGCAAAACGACGACGGTTCCTCGTCGAGCGAAAAATGGAAGCTTTGACGGGGCCGGGGCCGGGGGAAACGCACGATGGC